CCCTTTCTCGCTATTAACCGATGAATTGGTTCGGAATCATGACTCTTCATCGTTTATTTTTATCAAGTTTGACTATATATGATATGGTTGCGCTGACTCTCATTAGCCTTAATTTTATTGTTATTTAAAGTTTGAGAGACCGATTTAAATAATATTTTGTTTAAATATGCTGGCTGCAAAATGTGTCAAATATAAACTTTTTTTTCTTTCTTTAAGTTTATTTCTGTAACTTTTGGTATTATTGATGTGTAACTTGCTGATGATGACTCCAAAGAGAGTAAAAACGTCAAGATTTTGGAATAAAGATATACATCATTTACCAACTGGAAGTATACATGAATTAATATTTATATGCGCACCTTTTCCCGCGCTGACTCTCATTAGCCTTAATTTTATTGTTATTTGTTATTGATATGGTTGCAATATACCGTCCTTTGTAACACGAAGGTGAGATGATTCTTAGAAATCTGTTATATTATCTATTGTAACTCGAATGTGAGATGTTTCTCATAATATGTTAATATAATTAGATATTTGGGTATTTATGTATTTCTGTGGCTGATGAGGACTAAGTATAGTCGAAACGTACCGTTGAAATTTATCGTCGGAAAATTATGATTTGTGATTAATAAATATTATTTAGTGCACCTAATTATAGCTCGTTTTATTGACATGGGTTTTATAATACTATTTATTAATTTGTTGTAAGTTATACAAGCGAAAAGAATTAATATTATTTATATTGTAATATTCACGAAAAAGTTCTATCGTCTTTGGTATTGGTAAGCGACATACCATAAGTATAAAGGGTTGACACAATCAGGATGTGCATTCTTGCTGAGCTTTTTCTTATTCGTATACAGAATATGTCGAGAGAGAGAGAGAGAGAGAGAGAGAGAGAGAGAGTGTCGTAAATTTTTCCTTTTAAATACAAATTCTCTAAATTTTAAACATTAACAAAATTCTGGCTTTTAATATAATTTAGTTTCTTTTATTTTAAAATAAATATATACTTTACAAATAAAAAAAATAATACTAAAGTTTATATATAATTGAAACTTTTGATTAGTTAAGCACGTGATATTACTCGCGAGAGGTCATTACGTTTTACGGACATTTTTCACTATATGTAGTGTACTACTTTTTTTGGGAATATAGGATTTAATTCCACAATAAATAATATGATTCACTGCACTGAATATTTGTTGTAAAAAAACATCATTACGTACATTTTTAATTCTATTTTATTTACTGCGTTTTGCACTTTATTGCACTTTAAAATGAATATAATTGTTATAACTGCGCAGTTAATTAAAGAGATTACATAAATAGTAATTGTATTTTTAAAATCATAATTGTAACTAAATTAAAAATCACCTTATAAAAATTGCAAATTTCATTATACATGTTATAATAAGTGCAAATAAAGAACTCGATCGCGACAGAAAGCTTTTTTGCCTAAAAAAAATTATTTAATTAAATAATTCACTTATATAATTGAATCGAAAAAAGATATCGTGCGAAGTTTTATTTGTGATATAATTATTACAATTATTCAGTTAAATCGACATATCAGTTATGGAATTTTCATTGACTTTTGCGTTCTCTTTCCAATGTCACCACAATGGGTGGAAGGTTCACTTTGGAGCTCTTCCAATTTCTTCGAAAAACAATTTCCAAAGTTGTTATCTTGGAATGTTTGATAGATATATGGGATATCCTAAGCACTATCACTATTTGCAGTAAATGCTAGAAATGAAATTTTAAAAAATAACACATTTCTTTCTTGACCAATAATTTTAAAATTATAAATGATTGAGATTTTTCAGATTATTAAATGATATTTATTAAATGATATTTTTAATAAATAAATAACTACATGAAATAACTCATTTAATTTTAATAAATTTTTTTAACAGATTCTTTATTTGAATATAACGTGTATTTCAAATGACATGGAAAAAGCAAACATTTCTCCAACATTTATTCAGCTTGATAAAAACATTACTATTTATTGCTATTCAGAGTTCGTATACAAAGTAGACTCTTATATACATTAAAAAGAATAAGTAGAATAAAATCGATGCATCCATAATATTCACTGGCAAAGATCGGGAGGAAATTCTAAATTTTTCAGGGAATTAGGGAAGGAAATTCAATAGGTAAAAGATGAAATAAACATGAAATGGATAAGTGAAATAACGGACAGCGATATAGTGACAGATAAATTATGTAAACATAATCTTTTGCAATTTATCGTGAAACGAGTAAAAAATTAATATAACGTATTAAGAGAAGTATATATTACATGAGAGGGATAAAAAATTTATTAATTGACAATTCGTATATCAATATTTTTTTGTATTTAGATTTAAAATGAATATACTATTCTAAACGTTTACACACGTCTCCCCCTTTTTAAAGAATTTGAAATCACATAATACCACTTTATACGTGTTATTAATATATAGAATGACCAGGGAATTGTAATACTTTTGTTAAAATGATAGTTTGTATTAGAAAATAAAAGAAAACATAAAGTATGTCGTACTAAAGTATATGTCAGCATAAATCTAAAAGCGGAACAATTGCTACAAATCGTCGGTTATAAACCACTTTTTTTTACGTTTCACTCTAAAAAATATGGGTGTGACTTGCAACACCATATGCCGTGTTTATATAATTTTCACCCTGCAGGTGTTGATAAAACTGGTTGTAAATCCACACCACGTTGGTATCGATATCGATACCAGCGTGGCAAGAATTATAGGAACACCGCATGGTGGTAAATTCACACACCCATATTTTTTAGAGTCTATATATATCTATGTAGTCTTCAATTATGAAAGTTTTTCGTTTATTTCAAATAACCATTATACATCCCATTTTATTATTCGTCCGATGTAATAAAAAAGACTGTAAGTTCTCGTTTATGGAGGACTCTCGTCTGCGCCGGACGCGTAGAATTAAATGTCATGCCTTTATTTATCGGGATACCTAGATTGGATGAATTTCGCACCGTGCGATGGTGGTTGGCGTCCAGGTCGGCGTTTAGTAGCACGGATGCGAGGATCATTCGGGCTGGCACGGCTGGCGTCGTCGCAGCTCGGCCGGCGCGGCGCACCGAAAGCAAGAGAGGAACGGCGCGGCGGGCCCGACGGTACGCTCGCGTCACTGCGCCCGCGTCCGCCCGCACGCGCGCCAGTACTCCTGTCGGTCCCGCGTCACGCCAGACTCCCTTCACCCTCGCGCCGTTCCTCGTGGTAATCGTATCGTGCGTAGAACCGAGGATCCACATGTGACAGCCGATCAACGACAGATAGAATTTTCGCGGCGGTGACGAGTGTTATCGCGGCGAAAAAATCGATAGACGGTTGATGATCCTGTCGGATGAACGGTGTGATCGCGCGATCGAAGCGGATAGCGACGAGTTCTAGAACGCGATCGAACCTTTGTGTCGCAGCGGTACAATACACATGAGCCCTGTTAGAAAATTAGCTGGGATCGAAGAACCAAAGAATCGAGCGGAATTTGAAAAATGTGATGGGAGAGGCGAGTGAATGGAGAACGAAAAGATGGAAAAGGGCGCTCCTCGTGCTCCGCCTCGAAACCGATTAATCAAGCTTGGAATAGGGAGAGGAATGTGTTACGGCAAAGTTTTATCCTCCGATTAACGAGGAGTTGTGGAGCACGCGAGTTTGTCTTGTCGGAAGACCGTGATTACCATGTTACTTACGTGTCCCGACACGCGTGTAAATATTCGCGTTCAGGTACAGTGCAGGAGAACGGCTTTGAAGTTTTCGAAACATGGCACTCCGTCTACGGATAACGAATTTTAAGGTAAACGTCTGTTCTGCCCCCGCTTTGAGAGAGAGCTCTGATTATACGGGTACGAAAAGCAAAGTGATTTATGGTGGAAAAGAAGGACTTTTTGGAGGTGCGAGAAAAACGAGAACTTAAACACGCGCCCGTGTACAGTCATGTAGCAACTATACATCGAACCAAGACACGATTTGAACTTTAATCTACTTGAACTTTCTCGGCGAGAGTATCAATTTCGTCTTTTTCGCGCCCCGGGCATGGTCATTTTTTATAAGAAGCAACGAACTTTTATAATTACAGGCTAAATTATAGGCTGCCAGTTTTATGTAACATCGGATTCTCGTTGTTTCCTTCTGTGTCATATCTCTACTTATAATATAGATAGAGAGAGGAAAGATTCGATTAATGGGATATCACGCTGTACGCAGTGCAATCGAGACCAAAGTCTTCATTTTCGAGAACTTAAATCAACGACCGAGATGATGCATGTTACCGATGAATGATTTTGAAAAATCTGCAGCGTCGCGACATATATTTGGCGCCGGGATAGTCGAACGTCAGATCGATCTTTCCCTGGATCTCGTCGATGGGATTCGGTCGAGCGAGCGTGAGCAACCGACTGGCGGATTGTCCGTTTGCACCACGTTCAATCATCATGCCGAGCAGCGCATTCCTACAACGAGTATTACTCGCGATTGCGAGCTGCCGCGAATCGGATCGTCGAGAATTCCCGCCACGCGAGACAGCTCGAGTCGACGCGCCGGAAACGTCTGTCCCTTTAATTTTCTTCCCTTTATTCGATGTCCAGTGTTTGCTGTATCCTAGGTAGATGATATTGAGCGTACATGTTTTTGTCTTGTAACTCGACCGAACGCGCCGGATATTACGATTGCGTACAGAAAAGGTGAAACGAAGACGATGGATGTGGCGAGTTCCGTGAAGTAACACGAGAGTGACCGGATGAAAATAAAGGCGAATACGCGATGGTGAAATTTTGAACGCAACTCGAAGAGGGTAATACAGTGAGATAAGGGTACTCTGATTTTGTGAGTGCACCGTTGCTCGAGTCGGTAATTTTCACGGTGAATCTCGGTTCGCCTAGCGAAGGAACTGTGAACAGGGGTATGAGGAAGAAGCGTACGGATAACACGTAGCGATTGGCCCCTTCTCGTTTCGGAGATGCGGCGCTATCCACTGCATATCAACGTCGCCCTCACCGTCGTGTTACTGGCGATGTGTGCAACCGTGCGGGCCGGCAAACGAGGTAATAATTACTGAATATACTCCGTATATTTAGTTCGTAAAACCTATTTCGTAATTGCGGTGGTAACATCATGAAAATATTAAAAGCACGCACTTAATGCACGTATCCGGATAAAATAAAAATGCAGCAAACAACAACTGATATTTATCGTCATTTGTCGTCATTTTGGTATCAAACGTCATTTAACATCGTCAAAATAACGTCAAATAACGTCAGCTTATTTTTGAGGGAGTTAAAATGATATCATTATAATTTGATTTGTCACTTGTAAGTAAACTTATAGGTAACAAATAAGTTCATAATGACGTCTTTATGATAGTATTACACTTCTGTGTTCTATCTAGATGAAAGGAGTGAACTTATAGAAAGGAGAGAAATGAAAGTGATTACGTAAGTAATTATTTTCTTTCTACAGAAAGCATAAATTGCTTTTCGTTCGTTTATTATTTTGGGAAAACGTAATTTAGTAATTATACGAATACTTTTATAAGATATAAAGATAATTGTTATGTGATTTATAATGTTTTCATAAGTTTTTATTAGATTTATGTTTCGTATCTCTTGCATTTTTGTTTTAATTTTTCGATACATTTTTTAAATAATAAAATATTTTGCATAATTTAATGATAATCTATGTATCTTTAAAAACATTAATTAAATTTTTATTTTGCTTTCGTTAAAGTATAAAAATATTACAAAATAAATATTATTTTTAAATCAAAGTACGTATTTCTTCTAGATAAAATGGTCGTACACGGTCGTAGAGAGATTTTCGAATCAGAATAGGATTTTAAGTAAATCTTTGAATGTAAATTGTATCCATTCAGGATGTGTCACACTTCCCAAATTTCATTATTATTATTCTAAAGGAATAGTAGCTTTGTATTGAATATCGATCAGAAAAACAATTTTGCCAGTGGAAGGTATCTTATGGTCAGAAAACGGCTTTTCACAGTTTGCAGGTGCATATAGCTTCGCGATTCTTGGCAGACACAATGGACTCGCGTATTGTATCGTCGATTCGTTATCCTTACATTTCCGATTGAGATGGCTTTCGGTATGCTCGCCAGAGCAGAATTTTTCTTCCGCCGCGGTATACCGCCTCCATAACGACTCAGTTTGCAGGAAGCAGAGGATAGCTAAACTGTCACAAATATCGTATTTCGTGAGCTTTGTTATTCTGAAATTCGATCTAGATATTTTTAATCTCGAAGCATTGAATAGAATAAGATAAAGATTAGAGATCATAATTATTTTTATATGATATGAATATAAATACACGTTAAAATTACTATTCAATAAAACATTACGTTCACAGTAATATTACACTATATATGTATATTAACTACACAGTACGCGTCAAAGTATCCAATATTGATCAAATATTGTTACTGTTATTGTTAGACCAATATAGTATTATATTACTCTCTAAAGATTATATGTAGCTACAGTAGAAAAGATAACATAGATCATATTATATCGAATTGTTATAATTGTAATAAATTTAATGAAGCTTGCATAATCAAAAACATCATATGATAGATACATTTTGATATCAATACGTATCGAAATAGTGTAAATGGCATAATTGATCAAAATAACATCACTATTGTAATTGGAGTTGTTTTAGAATATCCTTCTTTGATAATGAGCATAATATGTCATCTATTTGCATTAATATATAATAATTAACTTTTCAAATTACTGTATAATTAGAAAAGAAATAGTTATTTATAACAAATTATATACACAAATTAATTCTTATTTATTTTATTCGGAAATATTAATGTTAATGTTAATAGAATAGTAATAAATATACTCGCTGATATGATTAATTAAAATAAAGTGCTTTAAATATATGCATATTTCAATTTTCATTAATTATTTTGAATAACGATATAATAATTGGTTATAAATACATAATTAATAAGAACATAATGAAACAAGATTTATTTGCTTTGCAAGGTGAATAGCTTTTGCCTTCACAAAAGCTGTCATGCTAACGCGTAATAATTTAACGCGTTAATTGAAGTTAAAATATAACGATTCAAGATATTTAGATTTATATATGAATAAAATGTTGATATATAAATCGATGGATAATGATATATAATTTTGAAAAGTAACCTGTAAGAATATTCGTAATTTTCAATAATTAAACGTCGTTTTACTCGCTTGCAGTGATAACGTCTCACTGGGTATGCGAAACTCTATGTCAATTAATTATTCTAACTGCAAGTTTAATGAACGTCACTTCGTCATCCCCATATCCTAGGCCGTATTCAGACGATCTAGTTTAGTTTAGCTTATAATTTATGCCTTCTGTACTACATAATACGCGTTTGCAACTTGATCAACCTTACATCACCGTTACCGTTTAATACATTTAAACTAGTACAATTTATTACTTAATACACTGTTATTTACCGAACTTTAACCCAATAGTTTACCTTTCTCCGTTGGATTGATTATTTTGTTTATAAAATATCGGCGGTACGCAAAAGTTCAATGAGTAATTCAATATCTATTTCACAATGCGGATATATTTTTAACAAGCTAATATGATTTTTATTTGACAAACTATATAGAAATTGTTATGCGAAATGGAAAAAGTTTGCCAAATTAAAATTAAGCGGATAGTTTGCTTGTTTGTTTAGACAAAATTGTTTGCGGGCATAAAGTGAAATATGAATACAGTTTACTAATAGTAAAACGTTAACAATTTTTTGGCCGTTTATTCCATATATGTACGTGGCAAATCTTTATACAGGAAGATCTTTAGACTTTTAAATATTCTTAAATTCAGCAGCTTTTGTGCAACGTGTACAAGTTTGATATCTAATAACAGTTTTCTTCGGGGAGTCTGGAGTTCTTAATAGAGCCAAAAGTTTTCACGTATAGGGGATACTTAATAAGTTGGACGATAATACCCAAACAACCCGATTTGCAATTTAATATAGGTATGCCAAAATATATCGATAAATCGAAAACTTATTTATAAAATATTAAGCGAAAAACTTTAATATAATATTAGTTTTAGGACAGTCATTGGAATTCTAATTAATGTTTTTTTCAATCGATATTTATTGGATAAACTTAATCAAAATATTGGTTATTAATTTTAATATATAATAAATGTATAATAAATTTTATAGCTTATGCTAAATAGATCAAATTGAAAGGATTTATTTCTTTTCAATGTTGAAATAATTCTTAATTTATAAATAAGTAAAATTGGGTTTTTTGTATTTAATTATCTAACTTTTTATATAAAATAAGACATATTTGTTATTAGCCTCAGAGATTTTAAAAACATATTATTATGTTTCATACAATAAAAATCACTAGGTGCCATTATAATATTATATATATTATCATTATAATATATATATTAAAAATTATATTTTACAATTATATATTATTTTATTATATATTACAAACATCAGTATTTCCCTGTCTTTCTCTCTCTCTCTGCAGAAATTTTCGGACTACGTCTCTCTTGTATACAGATTCAGTTGAATGTCTATCGAGTTGTTTATTTATTTAGCAACAGTGGCAGGTATAGTGACTATGGCAGTCGTAGTCCTATTTTAGTTAACGACACATGAGATTAGAACCAGTTTATTGCAGAAGCGTTTATTGAAATCGATAATGAACGATTTAGACTAACGTCACACTAATGCCATACGAACAATACATTGTCTGAACAGAGTGCATTGTGTGTGGGCTTCTATTTCCCCATTCAAAGCCGCAGTGAATAAAAGCAAACATTTCCACTTAAACTGAGTGCTATGGCAAACGTTTACCACGCAATAGTTAATCTCGAAAAAAACAGTAGGTATGTGATTTCATACTGTACAGTTATAAGTGACATATATATTGTAAATATTAGAAATTGATTGTTCTCTAAGGATCTAATTGTGAGGATGAAGATTCTCTAAAAACAAATAAAAGAATAGCTTTTTTTATTGACTTAAATTAAGGCAAAAGCTTTTTATATCAAATATACATATAAAGATTTCGCGATTAATATTTATAATAACGAACTTTAAAAATACATTATAATTTAAAATTACAAAATATTTGCATTTAAATATGATGTACAATTAGATATTATACGGTTCTATTTTTTATATGCAATATATTATATTCTGCTATAAAGTTACAGAACTCGGGATATGATATTTTTTTTATAAAAGTTGGAAGTATCAAATTATATTTATATTTAAAAAAAAATTTATAGTCGAATTTTATGTGAATAATTTGTCTTCGTCATTAAATAAAACAGACATTTTAATGAAAAGTATAATAACATTTCTGTATAATAATAGTAATATTTGTCTTTGAATTATCATAATTATCGCTATATTTTTCGCGCCAAAACAGAAACTTCTCTCACTGTACCAAGTGTGCTGCGTTAATTTATCATTAAATAAAATATATTATAATAATTTGAAATAACGCAGAATTTTAAATGATATATATTCAGACAACTCTTTATCTTTCATACAGAGCATAATGTGTACGCACATGTGTCACGGAGTGAGCTAATTTGGTTACTTTTTATTACGAGTGACACATACAAGAGGGCTCTTTATTAAAACGACGCATAAATGTGTTGCATTCCCAAGATATCAAGAAGCGAATTACGTTTGTATTTGCATTGTAGATATTTTAAGTATCTATTAATATACAAATTCTGTAAATATCGATTAGTTTTTCTAAAACAATCGTGCAATACCGCACATTGAATTCATATTAGAAATTTTTATATTTGAAGTGATTTGTGTATTTTTGATTTTCAAATTTTAACGTTATATATATTGAACTTTAAACTTTTAATTAGTAAAAAATAAGTTTAGTTATCTTTTTTGCTTTTAATTTATATTTTAAATAAATTTACAATATAAATGTTTGGTTATAAAAAACAGTAATTTTTTTTATCAGCCAATGATATTTTCATTGAAAAAGTAGTCAGTGATTTCGAGGTACCTTGTATT